AACTTAAAAAACCAAATGGTGAAATAAATCACAATATGCATCTCAACTGCGTAGTGAGGTGAATTCATTTAAACTAATGCATATATGCATCAAAAACTACAGGTACCGTAATGAAGCAGCCTTCCATTGGGAATTTTACGCACCTTTTAGATTGCTAATTATTTGTTTAGGTCTCGAAAACAGTACACTCCGTCAGCTATATAATAGACGAGGTCCAGCGGTAACTAGGAGGGAGGAATGAGATGGAGAGCTATCAGGGATTCGCCTGGAATCAGTTCTCGCCAATGTGGACATCAGCAGAGGAGAGGCTTTACTCCACCACACATCAAAAGTTGCAATCTGCTAAAAAGATGAGAAAAATTGTCCCCTTGGATTGGTTTGCCTTGCCGTCGCTGCCACCACCGCCGGTAATGTCGGCCTTGCGCACTTCCATATAATGTGCGCTGGTGTGTTCCCTGCATCACATCTGCTGCCCATGCAGCCAACCAATGCGCGAAAATTGCAAAGCGAATGTTCCTACCGATCGATCGGTCTATCGATTAACGCCGATGAGTCAGCTACTGAGCGCGCGCTGAGAGCACACGCCGCCTGCAGCAAGTACATTTACAGCTATTTAGAGACCAATTCGCTTTTGACCTCGAGTGATTACTGAGTGTTACAAGGCAAAAGCCATCTTACCTCCCAATCATTCAAGAAGAAATTGGCATTTGCTGCGTGGTTTTTTTCTTTTGTTTAGGCTGTTCTCGCCAGACGATGAAAAACCAGTCGCTCTGTAGCTCAAAAGTGGGCTCAGTTTCAATATTTTCAATGTTCAAACAATTCGAAGAGTCAAGCGCAGTCTCTCTCTCGCGTTCGTTGTAATCCCCGATGGAGTTGGTGGTCAATTCTACCGAGGCAAACTACTTCAGCAAACTTTGTTCATCAAAATGAGAAACTGACTTTGAATTATATGAGCATTTGACAGCAACAAGATAGTGGTAGCGCCGAGGATGATGATATTGTTTGGGAAATGGACAACGCCGATTACTCAATGAAAAAGAACTATTGTGTTAATCGCCATGGGTGACCGTGCGATGAATATCCACGAGGTCAATTCAGTTCCACATTTGGAAAAAGTTAATGATTTCAATACCTGTGTCGATTGTTTTTCAAAGTAACTCATAAAAGAGAAGGCTG